TATTACTATTATATTAGAAATTTATTTTACTATTCTTCAAGCATATGAATATTTGGAAGCACCATTTACTATTGCTCATAGTATTTATGGATCAACTTTTTTTATAGAAACAGGATTATATGATATATTTAATAAAAAAGTTTCTATTTCTTTTTCCTTTAAATAAATGATCTTTACAATTAACATAACACTACATAAACTTTCACGCCTGTCATCCAGAGGTGTAAGCAGAAGCTGCTAAATTCCATTTGGCATAATTCTGACACACCAATAACGTTTTACATTCTCAATTTACGATTAGGGGTATTCTTAACGTGACCCATTATTGTCACCAATTTAGTCGATAAACATTCCTCTAGTGCTTACTAGCCTATCTAAAATATCTAGACAAGTAATAGGAAGCACTGTCAAAGGTATATCGAACATGTTAGAGAATCCTTTTGCCAAATATAGTGATAATACCAATTCTTTGCAGGTTACAGGTTTACAACTATGAGTTGATATATTAATGAAGACGTTGAAATATTTAATTAAATGTCGTGACTAAGTTATTTAAACTTAATTACCATAAGTATATTACGAGAACGTATTTAGCAATGTAGTAAGAATACTAAAAGGTTTAGAGCTTTAGATAAAATCGCATGTTTATTAGAACGAAATAATGAAGTTTGAATTAAGATATTACGATATGAGAAGGCCTTAATTAAGGTACTTAATTAAACGCATTTATACGACAATATATTTTCGTAGTTTCATATTCCTCAGAAACTTCATCTATAATATTATATCTATACAGAGTCTTTTTTAATTTACTAAAGACCTTTTGGGAATATATTGGTGACATCATTACAAAGGATTTTAGCGAAATCACTCTTTACAGAATATAATACATTTACAAAAAAGCTACTTTTAAGTTTTTATTATCATGTCTGACTCCTTTTAAGTCTGTATTTTGTAGTACCAAAACAATTTCAGGATAAATAGTCACAAAATGCATTGTTTATTTTACACTTGATATCAGTATCACACATCGTGTTGAGATCATTTTGCGTCGCGAGTTCCTACTGCCTACTAAACCATTCTTCACCACTGTGCACTCCAAATGACAAATTTACATTACCTTTTCATATATACTCCTTATTTACATTCACTTTTCATATACTCCTTTTTGCATATAGCAATTTGATTAACTATTTGATTATTTTCTTCATTGAGTTATAATTTTATTAATTTGTTTACGAATTAATAGACATTCTTTAATGGACATTTAGGTAGTTTGTTACGTACACTGTAGCCAGTAATGCCGCTGATACGCTACTTAAAAATATACACTACGCGAATCAACGTCGCACATGCGGCGGCCCAAGGCCAAGCCAAAGGTATAATATGACGTCGATACAGATGTCATCAAAGGCGCCGCCTGCCCTTTTCGGTTTGCAGCACGTGCAAATTAAATGTTGAGTACTATATTATCTATTTTTTATTTATTTAATGCAAGTTGTATTTAAAAATGGATGCGGGTTAAAATAATTACAATTACAATAAAAATTTTATAATGATTAAATACAGATATTAACAGTACCTAATTCAATAAAAATATTTAGGTATAAAGGTTCAATAAAAGTATTGAAATACAAATTTAAAAATTATAATTAGAGGTACTCGTCCGCGAATGGCGGTGAGTATCGCGCACATAGTGTTGAAAATAGTCACCTCCACATTCTATGCATAGGTGAAACCTAAAAGTTAATTCTTCACCGACACGAGATAAAAGTTGAGTATTCATTTTGATATAAAATAATAACAGTTAATTATATTAATTCTTTATATCATAATTTAATAATAAAATCTTTTAAATATAGCAATCAAATCTTCTCATTTACGAATATTTTGTACTTCCTCATATTATTTTAGTTCAACAAAATCTGTTACCATCACATATCATTAGTACATCACAAATCCATTTGGTGCAAAAATCACATTATTATTTTCCAGATCTTCTTCTGTATCGCTTATTAAAATATTATGACACGAAGCGCAATTTACCCTTACCCTTTTCTCCTTCATATAATTCTTGGATTTAGCGATTTTTCGTATTTGAACTCTTTAATTTTTCTTTTTCTATTCTTTTCTTTTTCAAAATTTCTTAGTTCTCTTCTCTACTTTAACTTTCTCTTTATCTTCGTAATATTTACGCAACGCCTCAGATAAAATTGCTGCAGTAGAAGGTGCACGTGAACTCTTAACAGTTATTTTTTTACAGGTTACAGTTTAATTAAATGTTTTTTCTATAGCATCTCTGTATTCTTTATTTAATAGTACTGAAACCAATGTTTCACTAGTTTGTAGAGGTGTACTAGTCTGTTTTGTTGAATATCAACCCACACATTTTCTAAAGTTTCAGAGATCTTGTTTGTTATCATCGGTGTTTGTAGTGGTATCATCATCATCTTTGTTATTAATTCATTACTGAAATCTATTATCATTTCCGGCATTATTAGTACTGTTGTCATTGGTAGGCTTATTTGAGTTTGGATTACAAGAACATCATATTACGATACCAGGGAATCAATATCCAAATAACTTCCTGACAAATGCAATGTTGAAATTTTGTTATCGATTAACGATTCTGATGCATTTATTCTGAGGCCTTATTCTTTCATACAATTTTAAGTTGGCCGAAAACTAAATTATAATTATTTAAGAGTCAATCCAGTTTTCGGCCACGCTGAAATGAGTATTTTTGTTTCATCACTAACCGTTCAAATTGCAGTACTCGGTGGCCGAAAACTGAAAGTTAGTGTCTACGTACGCTACGATTCAATATAAGTAAGAAAGACGACTTATAGTGCGTAACCAAACAAATGAAAGAGACAAAGTATTTAGGCTAAACTCGGGCTACTTTTCGGCCGCATGGCCAACAACCAAATAACAGGACAATTTCATATGTCACTTTTCGGCCACTTAATTTATTAACTTTATTAATAGAGTATTATAATAGTCAATGTCATATAACTGTATTAAGTTATTTATAAAGTGATATACAAAGCACAAATAATCATAGTAAATACACCACTAAACTTACTTTGGAATGGGAAGCGCGCCACTATTTTCTTTGGTCGATCTTACACGTTTTGACAGCTTCTGTGCCGGAGTCGAATTAAATTTTTTATAATAAATCGCGTGTTGTGTTTACCTGATCAATTAATGTTATCAGATATAGTGCAACTGTTTACAAATGCATTAAACTTCATTTCGTACGATAATATATATTAAAACCGTTATTAAATCAAATTTACTGCATCACCTCGTGCCAAGGGCCGAAATCTAGACCCGGCCGGCTTACCAGCGCATCGACCTATCCAAAGCGTGATATCAAGGTTGCGGTCACATTATCCTAGTACTGGTAATGTGGCTGAATGGCACAGAGGTAGATATCGTGTTACTACGCAGAGACAGGATCGATTTCTCCAAATGAAGTCGCCAGAAGACAACCCAATATCATAGATGCAACTACTACAAAGGCTGCAAGAGGACCCCCAGCTGCTGGTAAGCTACTAAACCGTGCGATGGAGGTTGCATGAAGTTAGTTTTCATGCTCGGAGACTGCGATGTAGCAAACGCGGTCGGCTGCTTTCGCGGGCTCGGGAGCATTTACCATTCAGTGATGAATAATAGCTTTTGGTGCTGTTCACCGATGAGTCTCGTTTTGGGTTTTATCCGGGTTTACAAATAACACGCGTTTGGAGAACTCAGTAAATAGTTAGCCGTCTACAGCATCCTCAGGAGGTCCACTCATACTAGGCGAGACAATCATGGTGTGGGCAGGAATTCGTCTTGGTGGACGAACCCAGCTTGTTTGGATTCAAGGCAGCAAGACTACACAAATTTACTACGAGGAGGTAGTAGAGCATGTTATTGTCTCAGAGAATCCAAATGGGTCAGGAATTTCTACTCATGCACGATAATGCTTTTTCACATACGGCGCTGCTGGAACAGAAACAGAAACTTTTTTATTCAATGTAGATTATAACAATACTTATTGAAAGTCACTTTTTTAATTTACCACTGGTTCGAAAAAAAACTTCTGTCCTGGGAAGAACCAGCAAAAAACCCAGCGGGACTATTTTTTTCCAATAATAGCTTACAATCATGTTTACAATTAACAACACAAGACAAATTAGAAATAGCTTGGTAGCGATCACCCTTCCCAGGGGTTATTATCATCCATAAATTCTGCTGGTGTCGGCCGCTCCGACTTAAATTCTATGGAGTATGTCTGGCACATGTTAGAAGCACAAAAACTTTGAAAAATTTCCCGCCAAATTTGACGACGGAACAACAACTTTACCACAGAATAAATAATAGTACCTACACTTTACTCACACTTGCAAGGAACGTGGAGGTACCGCAGCAAGACATTGACAATTTATTTTTAAATAATTATAAGCAATCGATGTCGATTACACTGGTTATTAATAATTAGATTTTATAAGATTTTTTCAATTTTGATTAAAATTAATAGTTTTATTAGAAGATTTGAATTTTTTTATCATACTACGTTTTACGGCATTTTAAAAAATACATTTTTATTTAGGACAATAAATATGAAATGTTTTATATTTTTATTAAAGACCTTAAAATAACCTATTATTTTTCCATCTATTATATGAGTAAATTCTTCATAGATTTTTAAACGTATGCATCATGGCTCTATCACGCATGTAGATAAACGTGGTAGAGCCATGCTGCAGTTATATTATATAGTTGTAGCACGAATGGGCTTTTTTACGGGTAGGTGTCAAAAACGTAACAAATAAATTTTGTGCATCTCTGTAATTTTATTTATTTATTTTAGTTATTCATTGTGTACATTATTTAATATTTGTTAAGTATCAAATAAAATATCATATATGCAATAAATTAAATACCTGCACTAAGCTGCTACTACTTTTCTTACAAACTTCAAGTTGAGTACAATACTTAAAGAACATCTCAATATGGAAAACATATTTGAAGTTCTTAAAACACAAGTAACACTGGAGAAGTCACTTAATCAAAGATTAGATGAGTTTGAAGCGAGACTAGAGGGATCATCAAAGGACTTAAGCCTGAAGGACCTAAGTTCTGACTACATCAACTTCAAGAATTTCGTTTATTCAACATTTACATTACTGCGGCAGCAAATTAACCATCTAATTGTTAACGTGGATGCCATTGAAAGTAGACACAGAAAGAAGTTTCTGCTGCTGGGAGGAGTGGTCGAGAATACCAATGAGAATGTCCGCGAATTTGTAGCTTCAGTCATCACCAAGAATCTTGGTATCAAAAATTGTTCTAGTCAGTCGCTGCAGATATGTCATCGTCTTGGCACAATATCTAATGGCCGCCCTATTCCGATTCTCATAAAATTTGAAGACACTCAATTACGTCAGGAGGTATGGGCCAAGAAAGTTTTGCTCAAGGGTAGCCCATATGTGTTGTCAGAATATCTAACACGAATGATGCAGTCTTTATTCTTAGAGGCCCGCAGGCACTTCGGCATTAGGAATGTGTGGACCTTGGACGGGGTGATCAATGTCAAGCTTCCTACTGGATCCCGTCCCAAAGTGTTTACAACAAATGATCTAGAGAAGCTGACAACCAGACACAAAGTTGACGTAGAACGGGCTACCTCGCTTCCAGCATCAGATGTCATTCCCAAAAAAGAAGTATCTAAATCCAGGACAACAACTACTTCGAAGCGTGCAATCAGTAAGAAGTTGTGATTTATCGTAACTGTTTCCTAGTCCGTACATAATTGCATTGCACCTTACGATCAGCGTCATTCTTACTGTATTTATAACTTTTTCCATACCCATATTGAATCGGTGATCTACTCCATCAGCACTGATAACAAACATATAATATGTAATAATGGGTGATTTCAACACCAACTTGCTAAAGGATTCTCCTCAGAGTCGCAAACTTAAAGCCATCATGGACTCAGCAGATCTCTATATTCTACCATCTGGTCCAACTCACCACAACGTGCACACCGAAGATTCATGGTTAGACATCATTTGCACTAGTTCAGCGGATCATGTTATACAGAATGGGGGACCCCATTATACCACATATATGCAATAAATGAAACCACAAGTAATACTAGTCCGTAGAAGTGTAGAAAAATTAAATATTAAATTAAAAACCGTAAAATAAAAAAGTGAAATTTTCAAACAAAATAAATATTAAAATAAATTCAGTAAAAGTGAACACTCTGTTTAGACAACGTACCTTGACCCTTTGGAAGAGTGACAACGTTGCATGCGGGTGGCATGGCGATTGTCGGCACGGCCTATGGTTCGTTGGACAATGTGCGACGAAATAAAAACTTACTCACTAAACTGTTAAGATATTTTACCGCCACTTTTTTATTTCGCGAAAGTGGAACTGAACGAAATAAATATTATTGCATATTAATAGCAAAATTTAATGAAACCCTAAATTTTAAAATTTTCAAAATGTCCGCCACGTTCTTGAATGCACAAGTTACATCGCCGCATAATGTTGTCCTGAAGCCTGCTCAACAAATTTCGTTCAGGATCCAGAGCCAGGGCTTTTAATTTGTTAAAGGCGACAACAATACGATTGCGCAGTTCATCTTCGGTTTCGGAGATCTTTGAGTACACTTCATTTTTAATAAAGCCCCATAAACAGAAGTCTAGAGGAGTGAGATCGGGCGATCGAGCTGGCCACCTGCGAGGGCCATAGCGCCCTATCCATTGTTCGCCGAACATGGTGGCTCTCTCGCGAGGAGTACGGAGTGTGGAGGAGCTCCATCTAACTGGAACCATACCCTTTGGTAAGCTGCCACAGACAATCCTTCTAAATATTCTGTTATTGGGCCGTTAAGAATATTGAGAAATTTCTGTGCATTCAGGTTTCCGTCAATAAAAATAGGGCCGATTATTTGATCTCCGTGAATGATCGCCCAAACATTAATGGAAAATCGGTATTGATGAGCTGATTCCCTAAATAAATGGGGATTCGTATGGCTCCAGTAACGCATGGATTGTCGGTTCCATATGCCGTTTCGAGTAAACGTGCTTTCATCTGTCCAAAACACATTTGTTAGGAAACGTTGGTCTTGAGACATTTTTTCCAGTACCCAGTGGCAGCAGCGCCTGCACCTTAACATATTTATAAGGACGTAGTTTGTTCCTTTTCAGCACTCGGTGTATTGTTTTATGCCTCAATCTAAACACACGCCCAGATTGTCTAAGGCTGCAGGTTGGATTCCGATTCAAATGGTCTAAGACTCGTTGTTCGAACGAGGGTGGAAAGTGACGCGGAGCAACTCCTTCATGAGTGTTGGGCACTATGCGCTGATTTTCCCTGATTCTTTGGACAGCACCTAGGATTGTCCGGACGCTAGTAGGGCAGACGCGAGTTGCACCGTATCTCTCACTATAAGTACGCAGAGTTAACGCTGAATTTTGGTGGCATTCGCCATACAATAAAACCATGTCTGTATACTCTGCCGCACTGTAAAAATGCTGTTGTCTTGGCATTTTCCGCCGCCAAAACGTATACACAAAAGACAAGTAGTGTCAATATCACAGTGAAAAAATAATAAAAATAAACGTACTTAAAAACACTATTTACACACACAAAGTCAATTAACTAATAAGGTGTCTATTTCACCGTAAAAGAATTGTTCGACTAATTGTATTTATCTTACGATAATACGATAATTATCTTACGATAAATAATTGCGATGCGTGTAGGCAGCGAAACACACCTGTATTCTGGGAGAATTGCGCGTGAACTGGAAGTCGAATTTCCAAATTCCAAAATGGCGAAAATAATAAAAGTAATAAATAGGGCGGCCACAAGTTGCAATTATCGTTTATCGATATTTTTCTTTTTACACTTACTTACCTACTACATTTGAATACAAGTAATTTTGATTTTTGATTTGATAACAATCGACAAGTTATTGATTGTTAAAAAAAAGTTTATTTTTATACAATTGAACTTACGAAACTATCGATTTGTAACTTCCTGGGAAACGGGTAAGTATGTATGACTTTTTAATTGGTTGTTTTTATGGGTTTTTTAGCATGTTAAAATAATTTATTATCTCTAAATCTACAAGAACACACTTAAACAAAAAAGCTTTAAAGTTTAGCTTTAAATACTTAGGTCGTAGTGTTTTTAGAATTATCATAACAACACGATTATTCTAAAAAAACCATACCCTAAGTGTTTAAAGCTAAACATTTTTTTTTGTTTATCGATTATTACTCCCTTTGAAAGAAGCTAATCGTCGATAACTGGTGTCCTACTCTACGACAAAGGCGCGCGCGCACTTGCGCTGTCGCCTTTGAAGTACGCCACGTGCCTCGTGCCGCTTGTTTATGGACGCCGACAAAAGACACCGCTGTCGATATGTCGCAATAGCAATAGTTGGCACTGCGTGGCAACGTCGCTTTTTAATGTTCAAGGATTCAAGTTCATTGAATCATTGACTTAGTGACCCAATTCTATAGAGAGTTCAAATTTGCTTAAAATTAAAACTCTACTTTTTGACCTAATTACTGGACCGATTACGTTCATTTTGTGTATATCGTCAGCAAAGGCGATAACAAGTATATGGTTTCATTTATTGCATATATAGGACCCCATTCTGTATATCATGATCAACTGGCTGTTCCCGCGTTTTCTCGACACGATCTTTTGGTCATGTCGTATAAATTAAAGTCTCCCAAGCCAAAGCCAGTGATTGTGTATTTACGCAATTTCAATAAAATTGACACCATTCGACTACACCGCGATGCTAAGAATATAGAATGGGGCCCATTGCTGGATGCAAATAATATTGAAGACAAAATTGCTCATTTGAACACCCAAATTCTCAACCTATTCGATAGGTATGCACCAGTTCGAGTCAGGTTACGTCGACGGAAATGAGAAGAAGAGATCGAGCTTTTCACATTTTTAAATAGAATCGGAACAGTTCCCTTTCAACAACCTTTCAACAATATAAGCTAGCACGAAACCGCTGTAATCAGGTGTAAAGAACAGCCAAACGCCGCTACTTCCACAATAGTATTTTAAACTCCTCTTCTGCAGATATGTGGAAGTTCCTTAAATCCCTGGGATTTGGGAAATCACATTCCAATTCTCCCATATGCATAATCCCAAATATTTCACCCGTGACTTGAACATACACTTCTCTTCTGCATCACGTCTGTATTTGTGCACCAAAGCTACGACTCTCCAAGAACTTAATTCCATGCCTTTGTTATCATGTAATTTTTTCGACTTCAGTTCAGTGACTGACGATGATACTAGAAAAGCCATATTTTCAATAAAATATTCCGCAACCGGCTATGATGAGGTGAGTAGATTTATGATACTTCTCATACTCGATATTATTACTCCAGTTCTCACTCACATCATCAATTTCTCCCTCTCTACTGTCATTTTCCCCAAAATAATAATAATAATAATAATAGCCATTTAATTCCTAATTTTCATACAACAATCGATATTAGTTAAAACCAAATACAATATTATTATGAGTCATGCAATTTTTTTTAATTAAAAGACATGATAATGCCAGTGTCAATTTTAAATAAAAAGTTTAAATTAAATTTACAAAATTAATTTTTGATTATTTATAAATAATGTTAGGGTAAATAATCAATTTATATTTATATTTTCAAGTAATTGTCAACTTATTTTGATTTTTGTCACAAAATATATAGTTAAAATAATAAAATTGAAGTTAATAATAATCTACTGAATTTGGCTATACACATAAAATAGAGTCATAATTTATTATCTTAATCTTAATTAATTATGTTATGGTATTTTCCCTAAGTTATGGCTAAAAGCTTTTATCTTGCCTCTTGCTAAAGTACCCAATCCATCCCTACCCTCCCATTTTAGACCTATTTCTATACTGCCGTTTCTTTCCAAAGCCCTTGAATCATTGGTACACAAACAAGTCACCTCTTTCATTTCGAAATGCAACTACCTTAGTACATATCAATCTGGCTTCTGCCCGGGACATAATACCACCACAGCGTTGCTTCAAGTTACAGAAGATTTTAGAGAGGGCATGGAGAGGTCATGTTTGACTGTTCTGGTCCTTATTGACTTTTCAAACGCATTTAATTGTGACGATCACGACTTACTCCTTGGATTACTTTCACGCCCAAACTTCACCTCGTCAGTACTGAACTGGTTTTCCTCTTATCTTCGCGGTCGCCAGTAGGCTGTTCGGGCTGGTCAGGATTTTTTCGACTGGTGCGATCTATATCTAGGTGTACCGCAAGGCGGCATTCTCTCTCCTCTCTTGTTTTCGTTGTTTATCAATCTTCTAACTACCCACCTTCAATGTTCTTACCACCTCTATGCTGACGATCTTCAGTTATACTCACAAGAGTCCTCAGTTGAAATTGCTACCGCTATTGCAAGATCAAGACTTACAACGCATTTCAGACTGCTCACAGTGATTTGGTATAACGGTAAATCCCAGTAAATGCCAGGCTATTATCATTGGTAGTCGTCGATTGCTGTCACAAATTAACATACCTGATCTACCATCCATTCGCTACGAAAACTGTGTAATTCTTTTCCGCACTAGTGTCAAGGATCTTGGTTTAGTTATTGACCCGACCCTGAGTTGAAGGTTACAGGTGTCCGAGATTTGTCTTAAAGTCACAGGCACACTTCGTTCCATCTATCGTCTTAAGTTCTTTCTGCCTCCTTCAACTAAGCTTCTACTCATCCAATCTCTAATTCTTCCATTATTTGACTATGCCGATGTTTGTCTCTCTAATATCTCTCAGAAGCTGCTAAACAGGTTCAACAGGTTACTTAACAACTGCATACGATTCATCTTTGGCCTACGCAAATACAATCACGTATCAGAATTTCGCTCCCAATTAAGGTGGTTGACTATACGCCAGCGCAGAGATTTTCGAATGCTGTCCTCTCTGTTTTCAGTTCTTAATGGTTCTTCCTCACCACTTTACCCAAAAGAAAGATTCCAATTCCGTAGTGACACTCATTCTCTCAATCTCCGATCTTCACACAATTTATTACTGTCTACTCCTCTCCACCATTTTGGGTTTATGTCAAATTCTTTTATATTAACTTCCATCTCCCTCTGGAACAAATTGCCTGTTGACCTGCGAATAATACCTGCTAAAAACGTTTTTAAAAGAAAACTATACGAATATATCCGTAACCAACAAATTTGAGTCCACTTACTTTATATGTTTATAGTTATTTGTATATAAATTTATGGACATATATATATATATATATATATATATATATATATAATATTTTTATATATATATATATATATATATATATATATATATTATGTATGTGTAGCATGTACATTTTTGAATTGAATGTGATCATAACAACTTTACAGCTCATAACTCACTCTCTGTTCTACCCAAGGTTAACTGGTGGAGAATACCATATAGCATTAAGCTCGCCTTTTGTACAAAATCTTTGGTGCAATAAAGAATAAAATAAATAAATGGGTCGGCTCGACCGGGAAGAATAACGCTCTCACTCTCATTGTTGCTGTGTTTCGTATGGTGAGTGTAGAGAACTAACTTTTTACTGGAAACGAGGCATTCCATTTTAGTCCTCTCGGGTGACAATGCATCTGCATTTTGATTCGTAATTGAGGATAGATGTAAATTTCGCTACACCTTACCTCAGAGTCTGTAGGATAGCAAACAGCGTTTCTACAAGGAAGAATATCCTGTTCGCCAAGCGAGCGCGCGCCATGTTATACTCCCGTTCACTCGGGACCTTTTTGGCGGGAAAATTTGTAAGTTAGCAAATTTTTTGCTATATTGCAAATTTTGCTATATTTTCACTTTGAGACAATATTTATGGATAAAACTTACAGGAATTCTTGTTGAATGTATAAACTATCGAATAAAATTATTTTTGGTTGCTAGAAATTGTAATAAAATACGTAAATTACCCTGTATAGCATAGTAGTAGCATATACTTCAATTTTAGTGACAAAATTACTACTAATTTGAATTCTACACTTTTGTTTTTGGAGAAATTTATATCAAATTGTTTGGAAATATGTATATTTTTATGTTTTATGTGTTTCCATTCGTTACTCATACCAAAATATTAAAATTTAAAGAAATTAAAAAAAATTAAATAATAATATTTTATCTGTGTGACATTTAGAACAATATTTCTAAAATAGCTTTGTGTGAATTTGAAATAAATACAACGTCAAGTTATTTGAAATATG